TGTATTCATCAGATGAGGTGGGCCTAGGGTCTTCCTACTTCACCATCTTCCTGTCTCTCCCTAAAGAGGCACATTCTCATTAGGAGATTCAACATGTGCCCTTCATACTGCAGCTAAAGCTGGACATTTTAGCTTTTTAGAACCAGACATCAGGGGGTAGCCCCAGTGGCGCAGCGGTTTAGCACTGCCTGCAGCCCAGGGTGTGATCCTGGAGACCCTGGATCGAGTCCCACATCAGGCTCTCTGCATGGAGCCTGCTTCTCCCTCTGCCTGTGTCTCTGCCTCTCTCTCTGTGTCTCTATGAGTAAATAAATAAAATTAAAAAAAAAAAGAACCAGACATCAGTGAGAAGAAGTCACTATCTTGACAGTGGCAATTGACAGTAATCAGTAGGAGAAAGTAGGGCTGTTATTACACACAGGAACACTTTGTACCCAGAGAAGCCACTAGGGTGTGTTTTGATCCTCCCATGCCCCATTATAACTGTGAATGAACAAACACAGCAATTCCAATGTATGAATGTGTGAAATGATTACTATGGGTGCAGAGCACTCAAGAATCAAGGTTTGAGTCACATCACCAACTGAGCCATGAAGACCTCTTGAGATGATAGTGGACAGAGAGGGGAATTTAAAATGGATAGTGGAGAAGGAAAAAGATGGGTACCAATTGAGCCCAGAGACTAACTGCACAAGCAGGCTCTAATGTATCCTATAAATTTTCTTTTTTCTTTTTTCTTTTTTTTTTTTTTTTGGTATCCTATAAATTTTCTAAGTTCCCCTTGAGAGGCCCCTGGTCACAATGGAGGAACTGCTCCCAAAATATGTGTTGATAATGGATCTGTGTGGTACAAGGGTTAGACTGTGGTAGCAATAGAAGTGATCTTCTTCAGGAGAACCTGCTGTGGAAGCATAGTCTACTCATGGACTCCAACTGCCAACCCATTGGACCCCATCATGGTGTTCAAGCTTCTTCCAGGATGCTCCCAGACATCAGTGTCACTAGTGCTGTCTCATTCCTACCTGACTCCTACCTTGCATAACTTTTGCTCAGGCACTCTCCATCAGCCTGGCCAAGAGTTTTTTAGGGCTGAGCTGCCACCTGAGATTCCTTACATTCAAATCTCACTTATTTTTTTTCATAGTTGTTAGACTTATAGATCCATCTGTAGGTTATCTCTGCCTATCCCTGTGCTATCCCCACTTATCCTTTGTGGAAGTTTCCCTAATAAATCATTGGAACATCTAGCCCCTCTTGGTAACCGCTTCATAAAGGACCCAAACCAGAACACTCTTCAATAAACATTTAGATTTCTAAGTCTAACTAATTTTAGCATCTGCTTCCCAGAGAACCCAAACAGCACACTTGTGGAGCTTATTAGAAATGATATGCTGGACCCCAACTCTAGGTACTTATTTTTAACTAGGTAAGAGTCAGGGCTCAGGAACTGGTCTTTCTTACTGGCATTTCAAGTGCTTCCTAGACCAACTGATTAAATTAATAATCCTACAAAGAGTAAAATGCAGACATCACAAACCTCCTGATTTAATGCAATAGGAATTCTTACCAAAAGACCTGAATTTAATGAAACATCTGAACTGCCTTGTTGAACACCAGGAGCATCTAGTAGAAAATTATAAAAGCCATGCTTTAGTAGGGATACACCAGCCCTAAAGGAAACATACAAACATGCCCTAACTAATTTAATAGAAGACTTGAACAAATCAAACTGATCTTAAAGTAAACTAACTGCAGGCTTGAACAAAATTCAATATTCTTTGAAGACAACACAATCCAAGCATGGAGTGATGTAAAGTTCACGATATTCTGCCTTCAATAACCACTGGACATAGAACAGAGTAGAGAAAATGTGTCCTATAATAAGGAGAAAGGAATCAGTCAATAGAAACACATCAGAAACGACAGTGACATTGGCCTTGGTAGATAAGCATTTTTAAGTTGCTGCTATACATATGTTCAAAAATATAAAGAAGCCACCTGGGACTACAATTCGGCTGAAGGCCACTCCAGACATTAAAAAGAAATTGCAAAGAGTAGAGAGACAGGGAGAGAAGAGCTTGCAGGACTTCGTGATAGTGGCAGAATGAGTCTATAATAATAGAGAAAGTCCGGAAGAACAACAAACCAAACTAAGTGACCGGCAGACCCGAAACCTGGACAAGATCCTGCTGGCCACAACCATGGACGACCCACGGGAAAAATGGAGGCACCTCAAGAAGCTGGCTTCATGGACAGGTAAAGAGGATGGCCCTGGTCCCCCTCGGGAGCACCCTAAGCTGAACAAAAACCAATGTGCTTATTGCAAAGAAGAGGGTCACTAGGTAAATAGCTGCCCTAACCAAAGATCTAAGGCCCCTGCCAAGATCTTGGAGATGGAGGACCTGGGCGATTAGGGGAGTCAGGGTTCGGCACCCCTCCCCGAGCCCAGGGTAACTCTTAAAGTGGAGGGGCAACCTGTTGAATTCCTAGTGGACACTGGGGCACAACATTCGGTTTTATTACAACCCCAAGGGAAATTGGCAAACAAGACTTCATGGGTGCAAGGGGCACCAAACAATACTCCTGGACTACCCGAAGAACTGTGGATCTCGGCATGGGCCGGGTATCCCACTCATTCATGGTCATCCCTGAGTGTCCCTACCCGTTGTTAGGTCGGGATTTGCTCACCAAGATGGGGGCACAAATTTGCTTCCACCCCGAAGGGGCAAAAGTCCTAAACAAGGAGGGGCACCCGATTCAGGTGCTTGTCCTGAGTTTAGAAGACAAATATCATCTCCACCAAACGTCCTCAGCCCCGATGACTGACATTGACCGTTGGCTGCAGGAATTTCCCCAAGCGTGGGCAGAACCTGGGGGAATTGGGCTGGTCCGGCACCGACCGACCATAACTAAAGCCAGGGGACAACGGTGTCAGGGTCCACCAATATCCCATTCCTCTCATCTCCCTAACCCAGACTGGGACCCCCCTCTGCATGACTGTCAAGAAATTTTGACACAGATGCATGGAATCAGAGCTGATCTCCAGGACCAGCCACTGCCGAACGCTGACGCCACCTGGTACTCGGATGGCAGCAGTTTTGTCTGAGTAGGAATCGATATGTGGGGGCAGCTGTAACCATGGAAATGGAGACCCGATCTGGGGGCACCGACCCTGCCCAACACCCCCAACTATACTGGTGCTGATATACACGGGATCAAATGCTTGCCCATGACCCAGTGTTTGCATGGCTGGTGGAGGGCCGCAGACTCCAGCATCATCTTACCACAGGAACTAGGACAGCGAGGCCTATCCAGAATGCATTGGAGTACTCATATGGGGACAAGGAAGATGGAAGACCTCACACGACATGCAAAGATCACTATTAAAGACTCTCGAGCAAAGATGGAGCAGATTGTGGCAAGCTGCCACGCATGCCAGTTAACTAATGCCACCACCCATGGATCTAACCCGGGCACCCAGCTCCGGGGGGGGACTGCCCAGGAGCCTACTGGGAAGTGGACTTTACTGAGGTAAAACCTGGAAAATACAGATACAGGTATTTACTAGTGTCTGTAGATACTTTTTCAGGATGGACAGAGGCATTTCCCACCAAACATGAAAACTGCACAGACCGTGACCAAAAAACTGCTGGAAGACATCTTACCGAGGTATGGTTTTCCTGTTAAGATTGGGTCAGACAATGGCCCAGGATTTGTCTCTAAGGTGTGGCCTAAACTGAGGGCCCTCTATGAGACTGGGCCACCCCGGGATCAACATCGATATCGGCCAGGTGACTGGAAGTACGTGCGGAGATACCAACACCAGACACTTCAGCCTTGCTGGAAGGGACTTACATCGTGATCCTGACCACTCCCACTGCTCTCAAGGTCGATGGGATTACTCCCTGGATCCACTACACCCACATCCGGCCAGCTGACCCACACGCCGTCCTCAAGGACTTTGTTCCAGAATGGAAAAGCCAACCGGACAAGGACAATCCCCTAAAGCTAAGACTGCTCCGTTCTCACTTATTTCCCACCTCCAGGACTCCCTAGTCTGAGATTGTCTTTCAAAATAAAAGGGGATTAGACTTAATCTTCTTACAACAAAGGGGGGGGTCATGTGCTGCCTTAACGTAGGATGTTGCTTCTTCGCTGGAATGTAAATGGGAGCAAGAACAGCAACAAGGTTGGTTCGAATCCTGGTTTAATCATTCCCCGTGGCTCACTCTGAGAGCAACCTGGACCCATAATTGGGTCCTTCCTTAGGTTCCTTTGAGAGGGGGAAATGTGGAGGCCAAGAAAATTAAGGCCATTCCACTTTAAGTTCAGCGTTAGCACAAGTACAGCCATCCCAGGCCCCTGTGAGTAAGAGCTGAAGTTTACCTTACTTCAGTAACAGGAAGAAAACAGCTTACAGCTTGACATCCTAGAAAGCCCCATATTAGAATGAAAACAGAGCCCAAGCCAAGGGCAGGAAGCCCCTATTAGAATAAGAACAGAGCTCAAAGCCCTTGAAAGCCCCATATCAGAATGTAAACAGAACCTGAGAAATTCCTCCACCCCTTCTGGAGGTCCCCTAGACCAGCCCTTAAAACTAAGCTGGAACCCAACTCGGGGTCCAAGTCCCTGCTCAGCTGTGTTGGGTACGCTTGGACCCAAGCTCGAGCTTGTAAATAAACCCTCGTGTGTTTGCATCAGGAAAAATAAAAAATAAAAATAAAAAAATATATATTTATAAAGAAAACATGAAATAATGAGAGAAATGGGCACTATATCAGAAACCAAATGGAACTTCTAGAACTGTGAAAACATTAATATCTAAAATGAAAAATTCACTAAATGGACTTAACCAATTAAACATTACAAAAAAGGATCAGTGAACATGAAAGACATGGTAATGGAAATTACATTTAAGTACAGAGAGTGTTGGACCCTGGCTCACGGGTGCCAACGTGTCCCGGTGGACGCCCCAGAGACTCAGACCCCAGACAGGCAGATGCAATTAGCAAGAGGGTTTATTGAACGTTTGCACAAACAGGCTCTCCGCCTCCGAGGAGGAAAAGAGCCCCGATTAGCAATTACTGGTATCTTTTAAAGGCAAAAGGAAAGAAACCCCCTAAAGACAAAAGAACCGCGGGAGTCGCATAGCATCCAGGTTGATTTCACACAGGGTCAACAAGAACCTATTCAGGGACATTCCAATCAGGGTGTGGGGGGAATGGTTTTCTTATTTTTTCTTTAATTTTTATTTATTTATGATAGTCACAGAGAGAGAGAGAGAGGCAGAGACACAGGCAGAGGGAGAAGCAGGCTCCATACACTTGAAGCCCAACGTGGGATTCGATCCCGGGTCTCCAGGATCGCGCCCTGGGCCAAAGGCAGGCGCCAAGCCGCTGCGCCACCCAGGGATCCCTGGTTTTCTTATTGTAAACAGAATGCTTTTAGTTGCTAAAATTTCAGGAAGGCGCCTGAATGGGCTGCCTCTGGATTAGGGCTGGCCCTACTTACAAGGGGGGAGGTTTCTTCATTCCCTCCTCTTGTTTGGGCTGATTTTAACCTTAAAATCTTAGGGAACATTTATTTCTTCAGTTTGGAGGGCCCGACATTGCTGAGTTAATACCAGAGCTTGGGTAATAGACAATCTTTCTCGGATGAACTGGAGCAGCCGGTAGAGGACGCAGGGCCGAAAGTTAGCAGCAGGAGCAGGATAACTAGAGGGCCCAGAATGGTAGAGATTAGGGTGGTCAACCAGGGACACTGATTTCAAACCAGCTTTCAAACCAGCCCTGCTGGGCCTCCCGGTCCCTTTGTCTTTTATTTAACCTTTCCCTGAGTTTGGCCATGGAGTCTCTGATGACTCCAGAATGGTCTGCATAGAAACAGCATTCCTCTCCCAGGGCCGCACACAGTCCTCCCTCTTTCAGGAATAGTCAATCCAAGCCTCTCCTGTTGTGAAGTGCTACTTCTGAGAGTGAGGGGAGGGACTGTTCTAGCTTAGAAACGGACTGCGCTAGTGTCCGTAGATCCTCATCTACAGCTGTTTGGAGTTCTATATAACGTCGTGAGCCCTGGATCAGAGCAGCTGCGCCAGGACCCACCCCAGCAGCGACCCCTAGTCCCAACATAACGGCTAAGGTTAGGGAGACAGGTTCGCGCCGAAAACGGGTGGGATGTTTATCATACTGATTTTCTAGAGTTTCAGCAGGGTGATAGAACACCCTGGGTATGATCTGCACCATGACACAGAAGTCGTTTGAGCTATTTAGAACCTTAGCCGACACACGGGGGGGAGGCCTTTGTTGCATGCCCACCAAGTTCCCGGCTGGGGCTCCAGGTAAGAATCAGTCCCCAAAATCGGGGTGGTAGTGTTGCAGAGTCTCTGGTAGCCCCGGGGGGGTGTTCCTATGCAGGTTCCCTGTCCTGAAACTTCTGTAAGGGTGAATTGTGGTTGGGAGTCGGGTGTGCATCCCTGAGTGCTAGTGATGTTATTATAGGTCCCTGAAGTAGCAATTCCCTCATAATAAGGGGGGGGGGGAAGCAAGGCAGAGCCAGCAGGATTTAGTTACATCGGGGCTGGTTCGATTAAGGGCCAGGAATGCCCCTATGATAAGATTAAACAGTCGTTGTCCCGTCTCGGGTTACGACCGAGGGGTTGGAGTGACCGCAAAGTTAGTGGGTGTGGCACTCCCTGCGGCTAGGGCGGGGGCTGTTAGTTTAGCAGGAGCCCTTTGTTCCCCGAGGACCGAGTTAGGCCCGATCGCCACGGGGTCTGGGGATTCTATTTTTAGTTTAATTCTGAATATAAAACCATCATCTGTTCTTTCTTTGTTTAACCTGAGTCCCCACATATATCCATTGGCCCAGTAAGTAGCCCTTTTTCCGGGCTCCGTGAAGGATATCCGTAGGGGATGACACCACCCTTGGCAGGGCCCATAATTAAGGGTTTTCCATTTGCTAAATGTCGGGTGAGTATAGTTAGCCTTGACAGTGATATAATCCCAGGAGGAGGAGGGCCTCCATTCTGTATCCCCCGTAGTTTCGCACCCCCAATTTTTACAATAGAAGTATTCCCCTCCTCCACAGGTGGGATTTAGCCTGCGATCTCTGTGGTGCCCGGGACAGACATAAAAGGGAAGAGTGCTTAGCATGGCCCTTCTTTCAGGCGTGCCACATCCTCCCCATGGGTCTAATCCCAGTCGCCCTGGAGGGCTTTCTTGGTTAGGGGCTCTAGAGGTGTCGAAGTATCCCTCTAGGTCCCATGGGCTAGGGGCCCCTATGGTTAGCTTGCATAGGTCAGGATATAGGTTAGGCCACCAGGTTCCCACAGGGGCGGTCTTAGTTATAGACCAGACCTCGTCACCCCCAGACGTTAGTACCTGCCAGGTTAACCTTTTGAGGGCATGAGGGTCACCTTTGGCGGAGGTGAAGAGCGCTAGGAGAGGTAGGAATATAACAACTGTCATTGAACAATTTTTGGAAGTCTTATCTTGAGCGGGTTTTGGGTGCGGTGGAGCTTCCATTGGAGTGGCTCGTCCGGTCCGTCCTGGCTGGCGTCAGCGGTGCTCGTTGATGGGGCGCGCTGGACGTGTGAGGCGTGGACCCAAGCAGCAATGCCGTCTACCTTTAAGGCGGTTGGGGTGGTCAGTAGTACAGTATATGGGCCCTTCCAGCGGGGCTCAAGCGTCCTGGACTGATGTCTCCTGACGTAGACGGAGTCCCCGATCTGGAACGGGTGTGGGCCGGTTGTGTCTCCGGGGCGGTAGACAGCCGCAAGGGGTTTCCAGATCTGGTGCTGGATAATCTGGAGCGCCTTTAGCCTGTCCTGTAAACCGGGAGTGTTAGCAAGAGGGTCAAGAGCAGAATCTAGTAAGTCCGTTACTGGTGGGGGACCTCCATAGAGAATCTCGTAAGGAGTTAGCCCATGGCGCGCGGGAGTGTTCCGGACTCGGAACAGAACCATAGGGAGGAGTTGGACCCAGTCTCTAGTGCCAGTCTCCAATGTCAATTTAGTTAGGGTCTCTTTAATTGTTCTATTCATTCTTTCTACCTGACCTGAGCTCTGGGGTCTGTATGCACAATGTAATTTCCAATTTATCCCCAGTAATCTGGCCACCAACTGACTTACCTGGGAGACGAAGGCGGGGCCGTTGTCCGACCCTATTACCTTGGGCAGTCCAAACCGGGGGAAAATTTCTTCCAGGATTTTCTTGACAACCACCTGGGCGGTTTCTCGCTTGGTGGGGAAAGCTTCTGTCCAGCCTGAAAAGGTATCTATAAACACTAGGAGGTACTTGTTACCATATTTACCTGGCTTGATTTCGGTGAAGTCTACTTCCCAATTAGTTCCGGGTCTTTCTCCCCTCATCCTGGTTCCCTCAGGCATCTTGAGGTGTTTGGTATTTACCTTAGCACAAGGTACACAAGCGTCGGTTACCTGTTGGATCAGGGAGGGGAGTTTGGGAATGTAATAGGTCTGACCTTCTCTCCGGAGGAGTGCTTTTAATTTTTTTTGTGTCCGAGGTGAGTCCATCGGTGGAGGTGAGTCACCAGTTCTTTGGCCCTTTTCTGGGGCAGGACCGTCTTCCCTTGGTGTTTCCAGACCTTCATTTGCTCGTCATATTTTGCCCCTATTTGCTGGACGATATCTAGGTCGCTGTCTGAGTACTCGAGAGAGAGTTGCCCCGGTGTCCGGACAGCCTCTGGTACTTGTAGGGAGAGGGCCTGTGGGCCTAGTGCAGCGGCCCGTGCTGTTTCATCGGCCATCCTGTTCCCCTCTGCTACTGGGTCATTGCCTCGCTGATGCCCAGGACAGTGAATTATACTCAGTTTTCTCGGCAGAAAGTGGGAATGGAGAAGATCTTGTATTTCTTCTCTGTTTTTGATGTTTTTACCTGCTGAGGTTAGGAGACCCCTTCTACGGTATATTTCTCCATGAACATGGGCAGTTGCAAAAGCATATCTGCTGTCAGTATAAATGTTGACCTTTTTGTCCTTAGCCTTTCTTAGGGCCTGAGTTAGGGCTATAAGCTCTGCCCTTTGAGCTGAAGTCCCAGGCTCTAAGGCACTGGCCCAAATGACAGCTTTCCCATCTACCACGGCTGCCCCGGCTTTACGCTCACCATTTCGTAGAAAGCTACTCCCATCGGTGTACCAGGTTGCTTCAGCATCTGGCAAAGGCTGGTCCGTCAAGTCCCCTCTGGTGCCATGGACTTCAGCTAGGATCTGGTGGCAATCATGCATTACTAGGGAGGGGGACTCGGTTTCTGGAAGCAAGGTGGCCGGGTTTAGAGATGTAGCCGTTCCAAACCGTATCCGCTCAGAATTCAGTAACATGGCCTGATAATGGGTGACCCGGGCGTTTGAGAGCCATCGATCAGGGGGCTGGCGGATGACTGTCTCTACGGCGTGGGGGGCCACCACAGTGAGGGGTTGGCCGAAAGTCAACTTGTCTGAGTCTTTTACCAGGACTGCCACAGCCGCTATTATTCGGAGACATGGGGGCCATCCTGCAGCCACGCTGTCTAATTTTTTTGAAAAGTATGCCACGGGCCTTTTCCAGGGTCCCAGTTTTTGAGTTAGGACCCCTTTGGCTATTCCATTATGTTCATCAACATATAGCGTAAAAGGCTTGGTTACATCTGGGAGGCTCAGGGCAGGGGCGGTCAATAAGGCCCTTTTTATTTTGTCAAAAGCCAATTGCTGCTCCTTTCCCCAGTGGTAGGGGGTGTTGGATTTCGTGAGAGGATATAGGGGAGCCGCCATCTCCGCAAACCCGGGTATCCAGAGGCGGCAGAACCCAGCACTGCCGAGGAACTCTCGTAGTCCTTTGGCATTAGTGGGTGCTGGGATCAGGGCTACAGCCTTTTTGCGGCTCTCCGTCAGCCACCTCTGGCCTCCTTCCAGGAGATATCCCAGATAGGTCACTTGTCTCTGGCCTATTTGGGCCTTTTTGGCGGAGGCCCTATACCCCAGTTCTCCCAGTCTCTCAAGCAGGGCCCCCGTACCTTTTACACAATCCTGTTCTGTCCTAGCCACCAGGAGCAAATCATCCACGTACTGCAGGAGGACGAGGTCCGGATGGCCAACTCGGAAATCTGCCAAATCCCGATGCAAGGCTTCATCGAACAAAGTGGGGGAGTTTTTGAATCCCTGTGGCAGCCTTGTCCAAGTGAGTTGTTCTGAGAATCCCGTCTCAGGATCTTTCCATTCAAAGGCAAAAATAGGCTGGCTTTGAGAGCTTAACCTTAGGCAAAAGAATGCATCTTTTAGATCTAACACCGTATACCAGACATGGCTTGGGGGTAAGGTGCTGAGCAAGTTGTAGGGATTTGGCACCGTGGGATGTATGTCCTCTGTCCTCCAGTTAACCTCTCGTAAATCTTGTACCGGCCAGTAATCTCCTGTGCCGGGTTTTTTTACGGGTAATAGAGGAGTATTCCAGGGCGACTGGCAAGGTATTAAAATGCCCAATTGTAATAGTCTCTGTATATGTGGCCGAATGCCTTCTTTGGCCTCTTTGCTCATTGAATGTTGCCGGATCGATATGGGGGTGGCCGAGGGTTTTAAGTTTATAATTATGGGTGGCTGGTTTACAGCTAGTCCCATTCCGGCCGTTTCCACCCAGGCCTGAGGGTAGTTAGTGAGCCATTCAGAATCTAGGGGCTGCACGGACGGTGGAGAGTCCTCGTGCAGCCGGTGTGGTGTTCATCCTCTAGGCGCAAGGTCAGTACCTGGAGGGGCTGCCCTCCCGCGCCAGTAATAGTGGCCCCTTTTTGCTGAAAATGTATCTGGGCCCCTACTTTTGAAAGAAGGTCTCTGCCTAGGAGAGGGTAAGGGCAGTCTGGGACCAGTAAGAAGGAATGCGTTACTTGCCCAGTGCTCAGGTGGACCTTCCGTTCGGTTGTCCATCGATATAACTTGCCTCCAGTTGCCCCCTGAACCCAAGACGTTTTAGAGCTCAAGGGTCCTTTTGCCTCAGTTAAAACTGAATGTTGAGCCCCCGTATCGACCAGGAAGGTCACCGGCTGTCCCCCCACTTTAAGGGTTATCCGAGGCTCGGGGGGGGGGGTTCTTGGCCCTGACACCCCTAATCTTCATCTTCTAGGGACAAAACAGGAATGGGCTTCTTTTTAGGTCCCTGCGTTTGGCCCTTCCTTTGGCAATCTTTAACCCAATGTCCTTTTTCCTTGCAGTAGGCACACTGGTCTCGTTCAACCCGTGGTTCTCTTTTGTCTTCCAGGTCCCTACTCTGTCCTGACTTACTCTGCCCTGAGCCCTGTACTATGGTGGCCAGTATAGCCTTCTATTAACCTCTCCAGAAAACCTGCCGGCGTCTCATCCTTTCCCTGCACTATAGCACGTACCTTTGCCAAATTGGTGGGGCGACGCCCTGCCCCTTTGAGACCCGCTCGGAGTACCTGGCGATAGAGACGGAGCCGCTCCCTACCAGCAACAGTGTCGTAGTCCCAGGTCGGGCGAACCAAGGGGAAAACATCCTCAATCTCATTAGGCAGCTGGGTCGGCCTCCCATCCGCCCCCGGGCGTTTTTCTGAGCTTCGAGGTAGACGCGCTGTCTCTCCTCCGTGGTGAGGAGAGTCTGCAGGAGCTGTTGGCGGTCATCCCAGGTCGGCTGGTCGAGGTGTCCATTGGGTCCTGGCTGCAAGACCAGGGCCTTCACCTGCAAGATAATGTCAATATTAAAAGTTCCGTTCCTGGGCCACCCGACGTTGAAAGCCGGCCACTCTGAGGAGCAGAAGGTGACCCATCTTCGTCTTGTGACTTCGACCGAAAGATTGTGTGCCCGGCCGGCGACTTCTTTCCAGTGATCTAGAGTGAGGCTTAAAGGGGTGGTTACAGTCTGCCCCGGGGGTGTAGAGAAGAGGTGAGCGGTGAGGAGGAGGACAGGAAAGGAAGAAAAACACGGAACGAACAGACGCACACGAACGACAGGACTGGCGCGGCAGATTCAGATGGGAGCGGTCGCGAACCACGACCCTCCCCGAAGAGGAGGGAGTGCCGGGGCTCCGTTCCTCTTCCAGACCACTCCGGAGTCCGACTCCGGAGGGGGACCAGGGGTCTCGGGCACGTCTGCCTCCCCCGCTGGTCCAAATACAGAATACAGAGTACAGCGTCCTGCAAGCACAATACAGACCCGGCACAAAACAGACCCGGCCAGTCAGACAAACGGACGAGACAGATATGACATTTAGCGAGCTCGGTCTTACCTCCTACCGGTCTTAGGATTGAGTCTGGGGCGTCTCAGATCCCGGACGAGCCCCCAAATGTTGGACCCTGGCTCACGGGTGCCAACGTGTCCCGGTGGACGCCCCAGAGACTCAGACCCCAGACAGGCAGATGCAATTAGCAAGAGGGTTTATTGAATGTTTGCAGCAAACGGGCTCTCCGCCTCCGAGGAGGAAAAGAGCCCCGATTAGCAATTACTGGGATCTTTAAAGGCAAAAGGAAAGAAACCGCCTAAAGACAAAAGAACCGCGGGAGTCGCATAGCATCCAGGTTGATTTCACAGAGGGTCAACATGAACCTATTCAGGGACATTCCAATCAGGGTGTGGGGGGGAATGGTTTTCATATAAACAGAATGGTTTTCTTATAAACAAAATGGTTTCTTGTAAACAGAATGCTTTTAGTTGCTAAAATTTCAGGAAGGCGCCTGGATGGGCTGCCTCCGGATTAGGGCTGGCCCTACTTACAAGCGTGGGAGGTTTCTTCAAGAGAAGGGCAGCCCGGGTGGCTCAGCAGTTTAGCACCACCTTCGGCCCAGGGTGTGATCCTGGAGACCCGGGATCAAGTCCCATGTCGGGCTCCCTGCATGGCGCTTGCTTCTCCCTCTGCCTGTGTCTCTGCCTCTCTCTCTCTCTCATGTGTGCCTATCATAAATAAATAAAAAACAAAAGATTTTGTTTATTTAATTATTCATGAGAGACACACAGGAGACAGTAGAGAGGCAGAGACACAGGCAGAGGGAGAAGCAGGCTCCATGCACCGGGAGCCCGACGTGGGATTCGATCCCGGGTCTCCAGGATCGCGCCCTGGGCCAAAGGCAGGCGCTAAACCGCTGCGCCACCCAGGGATCCCTAAACAAAATCTTTAAAAAACTAAGTACAGAGAGAAAAATTCTAAAAAAAAGTAAAACTCCAATGACTTGTAAAATTTAATCAGTCTAAAATATGTATATTCAGAATTATAGAAAAAAAGAGAGAATAGAACATATTTAAGGAAACAATGATTAAAACATTTCCAAATTTATTGAAAAATAGAAGTCCTTAGCCCCACAAAGTTTGAAAAAAAACCTTAAGAAGGATAATTACAAAAAAAGCAAATCTAGGCACATCAATGAAATTGTTAGAAACCAATGATAAAGAGTAAATCTTAAAAACAAAGAAAAAAAAAGAAAAATTTAATACATAGGAAAAACAATAATAATAGCAAATGACATTTCATCACAAATAACTCAAGCCATAAAACAATGGAAGCATATACTTAAAGTATTAAAATTAAAAACTGTCAACATAAGATGCTATATGAAGAAGATGGCAGAGTAGGAGTATCCTAAGCTCACCTGCTACCATTGATGCACATAGATAACACCCATATCAGTGTAAATAACTCAGAAAATGACCCTAACACTGGAAGAACAGACCCTTTACAGGTAAATGCAGAGAAGAGGCTACATAATAGAGAGTAGGAATGGTGGAGATGCAATTGGGCGCCAAACTGACCCACTTGGCTATCTGCAGGAGGGAGAGACACCACCGGCACAGAGAGGAGAGAGGAGCAGACCCTACCCCATGCACCCCAAGAATGGGGGACCTGCACAAGAAAGGTGAATTCCCCTAACATTTGGCTTTGAAAACCAAAAGAACCTAACTTCATGAGGTCTTACAATCAGTGGGGCTTAACACCTGGGATTAAAAAAATCAGCAGGCACAACTCTGGGAGAGTCAGAGAGTGATAGAAAACTAAGTCCCTATCCTTAAAGAGACAGCACAACAAACAGCCCAGCTGAGATACAACATAGAAAAAGCAGTTTTAAAACCCCTAATGTAGGGATCCCTGGGTGGCGCAGCGGTTTGGCGCCTGCCTTTGGCCCAGGGCGCGATCCTGGAGACCCGGGATCGAATCCCACGTCGGGCTCCCGGTGCATGGAGCCTGCTTCTCCCTCTGCTCCCTCTGCTTCTCCTCTGCTTCTCCTCTGCTTCTCCTCTGCCGTGCTCTGCTCTCTCTCTCTCTCTCTCTCACTGTGTGCCTATCATAAATAAATAAAATTAAAAAAAAAAGAATATAATGCTAAGTGAATTGTCTGAGAAAGTCAAATACCATATGATTTCATTCATATGTGGAAATAAAGAAACAAAACAAATGAGCAAATGGGAAAAAGAGAGACAAATCAAGAAACAGACTCTTAACTATAGAGAACAAAATGATGGTCCCCAGAGGGGAGGTAGGGCAGGGATGGGGGAAATAGCTGATGGGGATGAAGGAGACCACCTGTCACGATGAGCTGGAGGTGATGTATGGAAGTACTGAATCACTATATTGTATACTTGAAACTAATGTAATACTGCATGTTAACTGGAATTAAAATAAAAACTCAAAACATAATTCCAAGTGAAAGATGCCAGTTACAGAAGGCCACATATACAATTCCACCACTTATGTGTAGTTTCGAGAATAGGCAAATCTCTATTTCTATAGAAAGTACATTAGTAGATTTTCAGGGCTGGGTCAAGGTGGGTATGGGGAATGACTGCTAATGGGTAACAAGTTTTTTCTTGAGGTGATGACAATGTTCTTAGAGGATGGTAACGGTTTCACAAATCTGCATATGCTAAGAAAAGTGTATACTTGAGACACGTGGGTGGCTCAGCAATTGAGCATCTGCCTTTGACTCAGGGCTGTTCCCGGGATCCTGGGATCGAGTCCTACATCAGGCTCTCTGCAGAGAGCCTGCTTCTCCCTCTGCCTATGTCTCTGCCTCTCTCTCTATGCTCTCATGAATAAATAAATACAATCTTTTTTAAAAAGCATTTAAGGGATCCCTGGGTGGCGCAGCGGTTTGGCGCCTGCCTTTGGCCCAGGGCGCGATCCTGGAGACCCGGGATCGAATCCCACGTCGGGCTCCCGGTGCATGGAGCCTGCTTCTCCCTCTGCCTGTGTCTCTGCCTCTCCCTCTCTCTCTGTGACTATCATAAATAAATAAGTAAATTAAAAAAAAATAAAAATAAAAAGCATTTAAGAAAAAATAATGTAAAAAAAGAAAAAATAAGGTATTATGGTTTAAAGCACATGTAGAAGGAAAATATTTGAATGTGGTACAAAGGCATGGAGAAAATGTGGCATATTACTGTGGGTTTCTTAAAATACATACGAAGTGCTATATTTTTCAAGGAGACTGTTTTAAGTTTAATGTATATTATGTAAACCCTAGAACAACTTCCAAAAAATAAAACAAGGAGGGATGGAAAATAAGTCAACAAGGAAGACAAAATGGAATTTTTTTTTTTTTTAAAGGCCTTGCTCCAGGAGAAGGCAGGGAAAGAGGAAAAAGGAGCTAGTGGGGAAAATAGAAAATAAATAGCAAACCCAACCCTATCATGAATTACAATGATTATAAATGTAATAACACATTAATTAAAGGATAGAGATAATAAAACCCAAGTGAATGTTAAATATAAGGGACATACTTTAAATATGGACAGATAAGTCAAGAGTAAGAGGACAGAAAAATATAAGCTTGTAAATCCTAATCATAAGAAAGCTATAATTTCTAATTACAACAGTAGCTATATTTATATCACATGACATAGACTGTCTAGAAAAAAAAAAAACCCAGACATAGAGGAACATCCAAAATGTACAAAGGGTTAAATTCATTACGAAGATTCATCCTGGGTGCCTGGGTGGCAGAGTCAGTGAAGTCTCTGCCTTGGGCTCAGGTCATGAACTCAGGGTCCTGGGATGGAGCCCCACATTGGACTCCATGCTCAGGGTGGCGCCTGCTTCTCCCCTGTCCCTGCCCCTGCTCATGCTCTCTCTCTCTCTAATAAATAACAAAAATATTTTAAAAAATACATCGTCACTGAGTATGCCTCTCATGAGAGCATCTGTAAACATAAGACAAAGTTGGACAGAATTGAAAAAAAAATTCTCCCAAGCGCTTACAAGCAACCACTCATTCCATTTTAAGCTTTATTTTTACTCATGTGTTTTGTGGCTGCAACTATATGGTCACCCAAAGCCCCCACCTTCTTTCAGGTAGCTACTGGTGGTAGGTTTAGCAACTGGTTTGCCCCTGCATGCGATAGTGTTCCCATTACTGCCAGCAACAGCATCATCCATGCCTTAAATCTCAACAGAGCAGGACTTCCCATGCCAGCCAGTGCAGCCAGCCCATTATAGTCTGTCTCCCACTGGTTACAACTAATGACTTGACAGGTACCAAAAGCAAAATTATCTCTGAAAAGTTAACAGCCACGGAAGATTGGATTGGAAGGGGAGGAACAGACACTTGGAGAAGCCTTGTGCACACCTTTGGGCGCTCTTTAATACCCAAAGAGTCAGGAAAATCGTCTCTTCATATGTATCTTTTGCTGAGCGTGCTTCCTCACACCCTTTGGAGGACAGAGTGCACCAATGTTTGCCAAGGTTGTCTATGGAA